ACACTACAGTAACACCAAAGTCGTTGGAGACAATGTCGAACTACCGGGAGTCAGTCCTGGGTCTGGGCATCAAGATGTTGAGTGCCTAAGTTGACTCCCAACTAAAGCTTATCCAAGGCGCAGAAAAGCCTTTGTGTATGCGTGCAACTGTGTAAGGGCATAGCTAATGGCTTAAGGGCACAAATAACTTCAAGAGTGCAAGGATAACCATTCTCAGTCACTTACACTAAATAGATGAGGAGAAATGCTAAGGTCACAATGGTGCACACAGAGTGACTCAGCTACAGAGACATGATGCTCGACTAATGCCTGATTACAGCATATAACAACTGCCAGGTCTTCACGTGTGAACAGCTTGATAGAAAAATAACCTCTTTTCTCATGATAATCTGGGATTGTGGAGTCCGCGACCGGCATCTGACTCCGATCGAACTGGAGGATAATCCTATGTTATGTGACTGAGCTTTAAGAAAGAGACGTTGTGATGAAATCTTTTTAATATACACAAAGTCGCATGATGCGACTCGCATCGCGCGATCACAAAAATTTCAGAATATCAAAATATTAAAGAATCTGTCGCACAAGGACCTCTGCTCTACACCACAGGCTATGCATCAGACAAGCCCTGATCATCAGGGCCTGATGGGGAAGAGCCGTAACACTATAAAGAAGACTGTGAAATTTACGTACTACCAGAATGTTAGTGATTTGCCCATTGAGATAACACCACACTCGATATAATTGCAGGACAATGCCTTACAAGACCGGATTATACTTAACCGTCCAGGACTAACTTCATCATGAACTTAGCTAGGGGATTCCTTCAGGCTGAAGGCTTCAGCCCAGAGAGACATATTGTGTGTTACGGGGGATTGGTACAGCCACAATGATGCAGCAGCATCTTACAAGAAGCTTAGCAAGAACTCGCATTCGGGTCGAGAATCTGGACCCTGGCAAACTACGTTCACGCATCTTGCTGCCTTCCTCTGCTCTCTGCTCTTCTCCCGGTGACTGAGAGTCTTTCTATCTGCGGTAGCTGTGCCCAATGTTATCATTATATGAAATGCTATTCCTCTGCACTGTTCTTATGCGCACATCTTGTAAATGGCGCATGTCTCTGGTGCTACGCTCAGTTCAACTGAGTTAGTTGTGATAAGGCCGGGATCAGGATGAGCTATCTGTTCAGAACGGACCGTTTTTCTCCTATGGACTGTTTTTCTCCTCGAGCACTTGTGAGTCCATCATGAACTCGGCAATGACCGAGAGGTTCTCCTCAGTTGATAAAGTATAACAGAGAATGCGTCAGTACTCCTTAGTCTTCCTTCTCCCCGCCCTCGGGGGCCTATTGGATGCCCAGCCCTCTGGCAAGCATTGTGGTTCAGGGTCTATCGTATTCGGCGACTTCGCAGTCGTACTCAGCATCACAACTCAATGGCAGCCGACGTTAACGCCACTCACACCCCCCCCCCCCCCCCTGTCGGAACACCGGCAAGTGGTAGCACGAAGGATGTCAAAAGTGTGTTCGACTCTTCAAATGGAACCTATTTTGAGTGATCTTCCTGACGTAAACCATCATTATTGCTCATAATGTCATTAGGACGATCATGTGTAGTCGGTATAATGAGGTGAGTCATCTCCTTGCCGAATCTATCTCTATTAGCTCTATTAGTCAGTCTCAGGTCTAATTTATATGGTTCTTCAGTTCGAATCACTTTGGTTTACTCAGGAAAGTAACTTCACAAACTTTGCTGAGCATTCGAGCATAGATGAGAATAATAAGCGCCCTCGTCTGCAGAGACTGTCGTCCTCTGGCTTATCGGAATCCATGGAAAAATCGGACCTCATAGGCACCTCAATGGCGGCTTTGGCGTGGATTGGCCCCCCGCCTCTCTGAATTTGATGCCTGCAGCAGCGCACGCTTTCTTCAGTTAGCCGTGCAAGTCTGATGACGTGCATCTAACAGGAGGAGATGTGATCGGCGAAGACTCCGTTCGGACACGATCAGATACACCAGTCGATCACGACGTCATCATGAGGCCATAGCTTCATTTTGGGATCGGTGGGTTACCTAGCCTGGGAAGCGACGTTGAAAGTTTCAACGCTTAAATACTATATGAAGTTTCAACTTGAAACTTCATATAGTATTTGAGCTCAGTTCAAAGAGCATAACAAATTGCTCGCGAGAAGCTCCGCAAGACCTGCAGTGAACAGTGAAGATCACTGAATTACACTCCCATTGTAGGCTACATTAGAGCCTATTAGAAACCCGAAAGCCGAACAGCTCTATTAGAGCTACAATTTGTAGCGACAGTCAAAGTAGATCTGCGACGATCTTTCTGGATCAGATACCACCTGTACACGTCACGCGTAGGCGTTGAGCTGCCATAGCCTCAGACGGAGCGCCTTTTTGGATGATTTCCTGGCCCTCGCAACTGCGACCACGGCCAAGAGGACGTCGGCAGCTGTGTTTTGTAGATTGCGCGGCGGACGCAAACACACTGCTGGTCCAGTGAGCGCATAGTGCAAGTGTGACAAGCGTGTTGCTTGATAGTGGAAACCTCTGTCTCTTGAGGAGACTCTCCCCTATTCACCGTGAGTAGCTCACGAGCCTCCACAATCGTCCCTTTTGCACAACTATTGTGCCACAATACCTTACAGCTGTGCTGAGGTCTACCCTAGTTACGCTAGGCCAATACAATGTCGAAGAAGTGGACAAATTTGTGTCGATTCGACATCGAAATCGACACCATTCACACACAGATTGGCATCAACCAAACCCCGAGACAAGATAATTCATTTCGTCTCAGATAATGACATTCCCAATGCGAATTTCCCATGCTAAATCTGGTGACCAGATTCTGGTCAGAGCCGTAGGGAGCTTAGGACACTTCGGATTACGCTGCAGTGTTCTTTCATCAGGTGATATCCATCTTTCGTCAATAGAATGATGTCGTCGGCAAATAGAAGGCATGAGACCCTCATGATGAGAGGTCGACGTGTTGAGCACTGCCACCGTTCTCGCATGATATTAACTGATCGTTTGCGCAATCGAATATCTAGGTCGGAATCAGAGTTTCTACAGAGTCTCTGATAGCAGAGCATGGTACTTTGTCATTGCTGCTTTTGACTCCAGAGAGTCAACGGAGAGCCTGCGCGATAGG